TTTTTTTTTTTTTTAATTTAAATGAAGTCATCAGCTCAAGTTTTAGGAATCTTGCACCCGCGCAGCCTCGTGATCCGGCTGGCGCCGGCCGGGACCGAGTCCCCAGCCCTGCGGGGGCGCCGGGACTCGAGCGGACCTCGGGCCGGGCTGAGCTGACAGCACCGCGGGCTCAGGACCCGGGTGCATTTCCAGACCTGCAGGGGAGGCGGGAGGAAAGCCGGTCCCGCAGCCCCAGCCCCAGCCCTCCCCTTCCCTCGGAAGACGGAGGTTGGGAATTCTCAAGATTTGAAATTGGTGTTTGCTTTTTTAATAAGATAAAAATGTGGAGAAGTACTTAAAGGGTTTGCGTTGTGTTGGGAACACGAGGCTCTTTGCTCGTTTTTTCGGAGAGCTCTGCCGCTAGCCTGGGCTTTCAGACTTTTTATTTTACTTTAAAGGCTGTGCGATGCTGGGGATGGAACTCAGGGCCTCGCGCGCTGCCGAGAGCGCCACACCACTGAGCCAGCATCCCCAGCCCTGGTGGATGGCTTTTATTTTACTTTTTTTTTTTCTAATATGGATGTTAGATCTATCATTTTAAAGTTTACATCTTAAAAGAAGATTTCTGAATCAAGCTTTCACATATCCCTAGTTTTATCAGTCCTCGGTTTTGTTTTTTTTTTTTTTTGGTACCAGAGATTGAACCCACAGATGTGTTTAACCACTAAGCCAACTCTCCAGCCCTTTTATATTTTTAATTTTGAGACAGGGTCTTGCTGCATGGATTAGGGCCTTGTTAAATTGCTGAGAGTGGCTTTGAATTTGCAATCCTCCTGTCTCAGCCTCTTGAGCCTTTGGGGTTACAGACCTGCGCCACCAGGCCTACTCTTTGGAAAGACTAGATTTCTTATTTTGTATGTGGCAGCATTGGAGCAAGTGTCCAGGTGAGCCCTTTAATTTCTCCTTGATCTTTGTGTTAATATAGTACTTGGTAGGATAATCTCATTCTTGTTTGTGAGTGCAGTTTGTGAATGTTGGGTGTTTACATACAAAGAGACTTGGAAAGTGAGTCTGGGCAATAAGAATTCTTTTGATGAAATATACGTATAATATCATGTCCAGAAATTAATTTTGGAGATGGTGGAGCCTTGCCTGGTTTGCCATGTGGGCCCAAAGAGTTGAGGATGACTTGTTAAAGGTCACATGCTCTGTAAATGATGTCAGGATTATAATCCAGTGCTCTTCCTGCCTAGTCCCTTCTAAGTATTTTGAGAGAAGGAGAAATGCCACTCCTTTTTATTTTTTTCCTCTTGTGGTGCATGGAATTGAACTCACAGCCTCAGCTGTTTTCCCTACCATTGAGCTACAACCCTAGTCCTTTTTTCAATCCCCAGTGCCATCAGAAAAAAAAAAAAGAAGAGGGAGAGAGAGACAGAGAGACATGCTTAGGGAAGAGTTAAATTCCAAGTCGAAGAGGTAGTGAGTTAGGTGAAAATGGCCATGGATAGCTAAATTAGGACTGGCAACAAAGGCTTTTCATGTCACTCAATGAAATCTTTGAAATATATACATGTATGTATCTGTGAGTATGTGTATATGTAAGTGTAAAAAGACTTTTTGATGATAATTAGAAACTGTAATGTGGAATATTATGTATTTTGTAAGCATTCTTCATTTTTTATTTCCCATACAAGCATTTAGAACTCTTTTAACAAAGGAGTTCTTTAAGAGCATTAGATTTAGGGGATATATTGCTCTCTTGGGAATGTCTACAAGTGGAAACACTTTGAGGATGGGTTTTGAACACTTGTACTCTATGGTTGGCAGGTTGGCATATTTCTTTATTAGGCTATTAGTGGTTTCATAGAGGAGAACAAATACATGGTTGAGTAACAATTGCATTTGAACTGTTGTTATTCTTAATTTATATTTATGGTTATATTTTTAATAGTATTCAATATTTTAATTTTCTCTTAATACTCACTTTTTGGGGGGGGGCATCAGGGATTCAACTCAGGGGCACTCGACCACTGAGCCACATCCCCTAGCTCTATTTTTGTATTTTATTAGAGACCAGGTCTCACTGAGTTGCTTAGCACCCCGCTAAATTGCTGAGGCTGGCTTTGAACTCTGGATCCTCTTGCCTCCCCCTCCTGAGCTGCTGGGATTATAGGCATGCACCACTGTGCTTGACCTTTAATACTCACCTTTTAATTGCATATGTACTCAAGAAAATTTATATGGTATTTTACTGACTTAAAGCTGTGAATTAGTATGTTCTTGAAGGTACAGTTATCATCTTCACTAAACTTAAAAAAGTTGTAAATAATTTATATATGTAATGACTGGGTGTTATATTGATTATGTTGATTATATTATGGATTTGAATTTATGCTTTTACTTCCCAGGGTAGTACCACAGGCAAGACACTACATCTTAGTTGAAGAATGTGAAATTTTTCAGAGCAGTTCTTGATGTGATTATTTGACAGTAGACTGATGATACACTGACTGTAATGAAGCTAGATTTTAAGCAGGAACTGAAGCTACAAACAGCTTGCTGTAAATTAGTATTTTTGTTCTGTTGATTCAACTATCATAATTACTAAAGTTTAGAAATTAATTTATGACCTTTGTGGCATTATTCATACAGTTATTCATACATTTTATTTATTTATTTATTTACCAAAGAGGCTTTACCACTGAACTACAAGCCCCAGCCCTTTCTGTTATTTTGAGACAGGGCTAAGTTACTTAGTGTCTTGCTAAATTCTTGAGGCCGGCCTGGAACTTGCAGTCCTCCCTCCTCAGTCTCTGAGTTGCTGGGATTACAGGCAAGCACCATGGCTTCAAGTATTTTATTGAAAGAAACAATCTTTACCAGGCTAAAGAGAACAAAGCAGCTGTATATTGTGGTGAGGAGGTAGCTGGCTCTTGAAGTCATAAAAAAGTAGATGCATAATGAGATGATCTATGATTTGAAAATATCTTATCATTTATAGCTTACACAACCTTTGGAGAATTGCTTTGACATTTTGTCTGCAATTATATGTGCAGGAGTTGCTGGAACATAAAAACCTCAATTGGCATTTGCTCTGAGTGGTTATTTGAGAATGAGTGACTTATTTTGGTAACCTAAAATCTGAAATAGGATTTAGAGGCAGCTGACTCAGTATCCTTCTAATGGGCTTTTTTTCTTGTCTTTTTTTTTTTTTTTTTGGCTCTACTGGGGATTGAACCCAGGGATGTGCTACCACTGAGCTATATTCCTACCTCTTTTGTTTTTTATTTTGAGATAAGGTCTTGCTGAGTTGCCCGGCTGGCCTTCATTTTACATCCTCCTGCCGTAGTCTCCTGAGTAGCTGGGATTATAGGTATTGGTCACTGGCAAAACACCTTTTTTGTATTCTAAGACCTAGATTGAAGCAGTCCCTGTGTGTGGTATGCCTTTCTAGCAGTAAAGAGAAAGATCTGGAGGAAAACATAATGGCTTTTTAAGCCTCTTCCTGTAGGTGGCATATCTCACATCTGTTCACATCTATTGGTCAAAGCAAGTCCCAAGTGGGTGGGGATGTACATTCCTCTTCAAGAGACATTGCAAGCCACAGGCAGTGGTTGAAGATGTAAAATCTTGTATAGGAAGGGGGTGAGTAGTTGGAATCAGTAATATAATGTATTATATTTGAAGGTTCAGATGATGTTTCCTGTAGAAAGTTTTTTTTTGAAATCTAAAAGACAATTAGAATTTGGTTGGTTGAAGAATAGAGAATTTTATATATGAGGCAGAGAAGGTATGATGAGTTTATGAATGTGTAGTATGAATTTGAGGGTTCTTGGCTTTTTTTTTTTTTTTTT